GCATTCCCCTCCCTTGGAACATTTATACTGACCCTTTATCAGTATTATTCATCCCCTCAATTAAACTCCGCTTATAGAGTGGATAACTATCCCCACTCTTGGCCTCAATATCCCTAAATGAAAAATTAAATGAGTCTTTCTCATTCTTACTCTCTCCTTCATACCATGTCAATAGTTTGAATGAGTTTTTCTCATTTAATTCTTCAGATCCTATCCTATCCTTTTTCCAAATGAGTGGTATCTCCCCACTCTTGTCGTCTACTATCTCGTCGCCTATGTCCCAACTGCATGTTGCACCTTCATTAATAGGGAATGAATTTAAACCTTTAATTTTGTCTAATTTATCCCTATTTTTTCCAATTACTGTAACTTTTTCTTTGTCAAAAGAAACTGTAATTATTGGGTCTGAGGGAGGTTGATGGGGGGGGGGTACAGACAGTGTCTTCGCCCCCCATGGACAGTTTCCCAACGCATTTCTTACATTTATACAATTCGGGCAAGTCAAAAAATTTTCCCCTGGAGTTTTACAAACTAGTCAAATTTTAGTTTGTTTTACTCTACTAGGGCAATGTGTCGCGATATGCCCTGGCTGTTGGCATACAAAACATATTTTTAAAGGACATTCAGACACCCTATGTCCCACTGATTGGCAAGAGAAACATGCACCATAAAAAGGGATTGATGCATTTGTGTTACTTGTCGCACCAGTTTGACCTGCAGCAGGATTAACAGGGTTGTTATTTTGCTGCTTTTTCTTTCATTTCCCTGCCATCATAGCTGCATATAACATGGCTGGATTTGGAGTTGGTGTAGGTGTCACATTGGTGGTGGGGGACGTCTGGTTGAGAGCGTCAACTTTTTCGTCAGTTTTCTCAACTTTCTTCTCCCCTTTTGTCTTCTTGTCCTTTTTCTTCTTTTCACCCTTCTTTTTACTCTTCTTCTCACCCTCACTTGTCTTGACAACGCTTAGTCAGTGATTCTAAACTTGATGAGTCAACTTGTCTGCGGTAGGTGGGCGTAAGGCCTTTATAAGCAATTTTAACCTGTTGCTTGACTGGTAATGGTCTCTTTAAATGCCCCATTATTAGTCTTAAACTTGTCAAATATGAAGAAATCTTTTCTCCTTTTGCTTGTGTTCTGGCCCTATGTTCGTCAATTACCTTGTCATCGTCAACTGTTGTTAAAAATTCACGGCGAAAAGCTCTTTTGAACGTCTTCCATGTGTCAATTTCACGTCTAATAATCCTATACCAATGACTTGCTTGACCTTTTAAAATACTGGGAATTGAATGTACTAAGTCATCGTCGTCAATTACCATACAAATTTCACAATCTTTTAATCTGTCAAGGAAATCTTCAGGGTCAGCATTGTCTTCTCCAGAAAATTTAATATCCCAATTAATCAATGTTTTAATTGTTTTCGACCTATTAATTGCTATACTTTTGTCTAATTTTAATGATGTTTTACTTGAAATGTCTGAGTCTGAGTCACTTGATGAATCAGTAAATAATGTTCTTCGTACATTCTTTTCTTTGTATTTTTTATTAGTTCGTCGTTTGTACTTGTCCTTATTTTAAGAAATCTTTTTCTCCCTAGTCAAAAATTTGTCGTCTTTGTCTGAGTAATTTTCACTATCACTGTCGTCATTTGATATCCCCCCCTTGGACAAAAATTTTTTATTTGTCTGTACTGGTTGGGGAATATTTCTGTCACGTTTACTTTCTCTTGTCTTATCTTTATTTTGAATGGGTTGAGAAACATCAGTCTTGTCATTTTGTTCAAAATTCTGATTTTGATAATAATGTTGGACTTTTTCTCTTTTTAAATGAGGATTCATGTCATTTGGTGGCCATTCAAAATTATTTCCTAATCCAATGTAGTCATTATTTTTATGGATAGGGAGAAGAGTATTAGTCATTGTAGCTGAAATAATTGGCAGAGGTGTAGTCATGACTGTTGTAGTAATAGGTAAAGGAAGTGTATGGGAAGTTGTCGTCAAAATCGAGGTAGTAGGGATACTAGCTGTTGTCATGACTGGTATATGACTCATACTTGGGGAACTTTGTCTATTATACGATAAACTATTCTCCCCCCTCACTACTAACATTTCCTGATTTTTGTCAATTTCACCCAAATTACCTAAGTCTCTAATTTTGGGGCTGTCAATTTCCTCACCATTATCACTTGTCACTCCTGTACCCCTCGTCTGTCAAACATTTGGAATTTCTTCTTTTTTTGGCGGTGTATATGCTTCAAGAAGAAAAATTTTACTCGAATTCCCACAGTCATATTCTTCACAAAAGGGAATGTTTATTTCATCTGTAAAAATTGTTCTTAATTCAATTCGGAACAATCTTTCTCGGAGAACTTCTAATGTCCCTACAAGTGATAATTGTTTTGCAAGTAACATTGTCACTATTTGTCCTACTGGCATAGCAATAATAGATGTCCAGATATCTCTAATCTCGGGACTATCTAAAAGTATTGCCATCCTTTCTTTATAAACAATCATTTTTTCAATTGCGTGAGCCATCTCAATTGTCAAAAAAAATTTAAACAAATTCCAATGTCAAAAAAAATTTTATTACCTTAGTCAATTTTAAATTAGGGTAATTTTAAATTTTCACGATTTATCAAAAATCAGATTAAATTAATTTCAATTTGATTTTGAAAAATTTAGAGAAATTTTCCAATCATTAAAAATAAAAATTAATTTTTAGGGCCCAACACATGCTATACACGGTCCTGATACTATTCAATAATTTATTTAATTCATTTTATTCTTTATTACACTCAAAAAGGATAAAATTTTGAAAATTTGTTAATTACTAACAAAAAGGGGGCACGTCCCCAATTAATACGGCCCTGGTCCTTTTAAAATTTTCACTGTTTCGCGGCAGAAATTTTTATCTCCTTTCCTAAGTCAAATTTCTCTTGTCAATTTCTGCATGAGTAATATTTTTGAGCCTACGTGACTAATTTTTGTCATGCGCAATACTTTCCCTAATCGAAATTTTCCACTGACCGCCAATTTCTATGAACGAAAATGAATTTGGAAAACAACGCGAAAAATTATCACTACGCGCATGCGCTATATGTCACGTGACTACTATAATTTTTATTCAAAACCAAGCACGTGTTGGCTAATTATGTAAATAATAATGTCAAAAATATTTTATCACTCGCGAAAAATAAAGAAAAATTCACTGAATTTAATAAAATTAAAATTATTGAAATCGTCCAAGAGATACACGAGATATTCAACTTCAAAGAAAAATTCCTAACGTGAGGTTATGGCGTCTCTCGCCATGCCGTCAACAAAAATTCTCAAGTGTAAAAATATTTTGTTTTACACAATTATCTCCTCCTCTCCCAAAGTCAAACACACATATCCCAAAGTCATATCACAATAAATAATTTTCATGTCGGGTATTATTAATTATTGCAGGAAACAAACAATAATATCTTATTAACCCCTTGGCTGTCAACGAGATTTCCACTGTTTGGCCCAAAAATGTGTTGAAAAATTTTTTAATGGATTTTTATGAAACTTTGTACCCTAAGGTTTCTGGGGTCGCTGGTTACGAATCTGACATCAGTTTTTCGAAATTCAAAATGGCGGATCCAAGATGGCGGAAATTTTTTCAAAATTCGTCAAATTTGCTTGAAACTTGTTACTCGGGGGTTTTAAGGGTCACTGATTACGAATCTAACATTAGTTTTCCAAAATTCAAAATGGCGGATCCAATATGGCGGACAACGAAATAAAAAATTGATCAGATTGGCTTGAAACTGAATACTTGGGGATTTTCAGGGTCGCTGATTACGAATCTGAAATCAGTTTTTCAAAATTCAAAATATCTGGTTCAATATGACGAAATTTTTTTTTAAATTTATTGAATTTGTTTGAAACTGGTTAATCTGACATCAGTATTATAATTTTTGGTGAAATCAAATTTCGATAAATACCCTGAAAAACTAATGTCAGATTCGTAATCAGCGACCCTAAAAACCCCCGAGTATTCAGTTTCAAGCCAATCTGATCAATTTTTTATTTCGTTGTCCGCCATATTGGATCCGCCATTTTGAATTTTGGAAAACTAATGTTAGATTCGTAATCAGCGACCCTTAAAACCCCCGAGTAACAAATTTCAAGCAAATTCGACGAATTTTGAAAAAATTTCTGCCATTTTGGATCCGCCATTTTGAATTTCGAAAAACTGATGTCAGATTCGTAATCAGCGACCCCAAAAACCCCCGAGCACTACGTTTCAAGTCAATCTGATCAATTTTTTATTTTGTTGTCCGCCATATTGGATCCGCCATTTTGAATTTTGGAAAACGAATATCATATTCGTAATCAGCGACCTCGAAAACCCCCGAGTAACCGGTTTCAGGAACATTCAAGAAGTTTTTAATCACTTTTTTTAAGTTGCGCATATATGCGTCATGAACCACTTTTGGCCAGTTTAGTTTTGCGCATATATGCGTCAGCGACAGTCAACGGGTTAAAGAAAAATATCCAAATTCAAAATTTCAAAGAAGTCAAAATCACAAATATAATTTTAGTCGTGTTTCAAAATTTCCCATCAATGTACCCAACGTTGGGCGCCAAAATTTATGACGGTTGTTTTAATAATAAATTCAATCTTTTGTAAGTTAAATAAATTATATTCCCTTACTAGTCATAAATCAAAGACAACCAAACGTGATAGTCAGACGCCAGTCAATCTTCTTTGTAAAATTGACAAAAGTTAACATTCAAAATTTAAACAACAACAATATTACCAACAATAATCTCAGAGGAGATTCCGTCAGGAAATATAGAATTAAAAAGGGAAACAATTAATTCTCTGAGACACGACTCTTATAATAATACAATACACTTACTTTTACTTATCCGACGAAAAGATCCTCTACTCCAAGTCCAGAGAGATGAGTTTAATTAAATAAGTAGTCACTAATTTACTAATTTCACTATTATTTATTAATTTCTCTATTAAATTTACATCTCCATTATTTCTCGTTTCCTCAGTCAAATCAACACAAGTTTTCCTTGTACACTCTCTTCGACAGTCGTTATAATACTATATATTTCCATACATTTTTATCGTCTGCTAATAGACGCATTATATCATTTAACCATAAAGGGGAGTTTCTATTCCTCTATTAATTTCTAGTCAAAAGAATTTCCTACTAAAATTTCAAGGAAATAAAAGATAACAAAAGTAAGTTCATATTTTGACCAAAAGAAGGATATTAATTATAAGAAAAATAATATCATTAATTCAGTGACTTAACTACTATGTCACAGCATACAAATTCTTGAATTAGGTTCAGACATCTCTGCTTTTCCGAAGAATAGTGTAGATCATTGAGAACACCCCTTAATGTTGCGAGGCTCTTGTCGCATACGTGTATCCATGTAGTCACGAACTGACTCTTGACGATTTCAATCGTCAGACCATGTATTAAACTTGCTGCGTCTTCTGTTGTTTTGAGAAGAGCTTCACATTCCTTAAGAAGTGTTGCATTCGTCAACTTAGCCTTCTTTTGCGCCTCCTGGTCCAACTCAACGGTTTTTGGACGTTTACCAGGCATGCTTTAAAGAATAAAGCAAAATTTGTAAGTGGGGCAAAATTCCTCAATTGTCCTAACTTAAAATCGAAAGTCTTCAAATCGGGCTGATTTTTGCACAAACTTTAATACTATAGGAGAGAACTTTACCCATAAAATATTAAGATATTTTATTAAAAATTGTTGGGGGGAGAGGGGGTTAAAGTTTTTGGTAACGTGTGGACAGTGGATTCTTTTAGCTAATATATAGCTAAAATACAGTAGAGTGGACAAAATTTTGACCTATATGTTTTCGAAAGGTTTTTTCCTCCTCTTTCGAATGGTGTAAAATTTTTTTTTTTTAATTAACAATTTAACTAATTTTTTTCAAAATTAAAAATATTTTTCACTTTTTTTAAAAAAACGGCATTTTTTTCTCTTTTTTTGCTTTAAAATAAAGCTTAATATATGTACTTTCCATAACTGATTCTGAAAAAATGACGTTTTTTTTGTTTTCGAATTATTAATTAATTAATTAATAAAAATCAGTAAAAAATTACTAAAAAATGAAATATTTTTTAAGCAAGTAAACTTTTCTGAATTATGAGATTATCATCGTAAAGCTTACCTAATTCCGCATCCAACAAGTATAATTACACCTATTTTTACAAATAATTGTTAAATAAATAAATAATTGAAAATTTATTTATTAATTTTTTGAAAAAAGAACATTTTTTTCTTCTTTCTTGCTTTAAAATAAAGCTCAATATGTGTACTTTCAATACTCGATTAGGAAAAAGTGCCATTTTCTTTTGTGTTTCGAAAAATTAATTAATTAATTAATTAATTAATTAATTAGTTAATAATAGTAAGAAATTACTAAAAAATTAAATGTGTATGTGTGTATTATGTGTGTATGTCACAAAAATTGTGTACAAATTATCTCAAACAAATTTTGATGGATTGTCTTGAAATTTTGCAGGTTTATTGCAGTCATTAATACCTAAAATCTGACACAAGGATTTTCAAAAATATCTAAAAAAAAAAATTTTATACAATTTTTTTTAAATTCAAAAAAATTTTTTTTTTGTATTTTTGTAAATAATTTTTTTATCTGTTAATATTTTAATTAATTATTCTCAAAATTACATTCCTGACAAGAAAACGAATCGGTTGATGTATACAAAGTATATTTTTTATCAAAATTTATAAAAGTAATAGAAATTTTTCTTTTTCACAAAAAATTCAAATTTTGTATTTTTTCATAATTTATTTTATATTAATATTTTTAAATGATTATTCTATCATAAAAAAAGAAGCAATTTGCATATGAAATAGAGGTGTGCACTTAATCGAGTCGAACCGAACATTAATCGACTCGACAACAGAAAATTCGAATCATTTCGAATTGCAAAAGTTTGCAAACCGCAATATAATTACATTTAATTTATAAATTTATTTTGCTGCATCGAAAAGAAATTTCCTTAAGAAGAATGTATGCTTTGATTGTTATGCTTTTGAAAAATCATAATTTGGTTTTCATTTTTCATTTAAAAATTTTTTGATATAACAAAGGTTTTTTACAAGAAAAAATTACTAGAATCTATAAATCATTTATTTATGATAATGTTTGATTAAAATTAGAATAAAGTTTTAAACATAAAAAAACATTGTTATAAAAATAAATTAATATAAATTTTTTATTTTTAAACAAAATTGATAAATGTTTGTATGAATGTGTGTGTATGTTCCCGATTTTATGGGATAAATTTAATTTTATACATATGTTTAGATGGAGTTTGCTAGAATTTTGTAAGTGAATTACGTCACGAATTTATATTTTATATGTTGAGGAAGCTAAATGGTCATGAAATGAACAACTTGTTTATTTTTATTCTTATTTCAAGCAAAGCTTAATATGTATACTTTTAATACGCGATTAGGAAAAAATGACATTTTTCTTTTCGTATTATTTATTAATTAATTAATAAAAATTATTTTAAAAATTATAATTTTTCAAAGAAATAAACTTTTCTTAATTTTGCGCTTGCCAACGTAAAGCTTACCAACTTCCGCACCCAACAAGTTTATTTTTAACTATTTTTTATAAACAATTTCAAAAAATTAATAAATAAATTTTTAATTATTTATTTATTTAACAATTATTTGTAAAAATAGGTGTAATTATACTTGTTGGATGCGGAATTAGGTAAGCTTTACGATGATAATCTCATAATTCAGAAAAGTTTACTTGCTTAAAAAATATTTCATTTTTTAGTAATTTTTTACTGATTTTTATTAATTAATTAATTAATAATTCGAAAACAAAAAAAACGTCATTTTTTCAGAATCAGTTATGGAAAGTACATATATTAAGCTTTATTTTAAAGCAAAAAAAGAGAAAAAAAATGCCGTTTTTTTAAAAAAAGTGAAAAATATTTTTAATTTTGAAAAAAATTAGTTAAATTGTTAATTAAAAAAAAAAAATTTACACCATTCGAAAGAGGAGGAAAAAACCTTTCGAAAACATATAGGTCAAAATTTTGTCCACTCTACTGTATTTTAGCTATATATTAGCTAAAAGAATCCACTGTCCACACGTTACCAAAAACTTTAACCCCCTCTCCCCCCTACAATTTTTAATAAAATATCTTAATATTTTATGGGTAAAGTTCTCTCCCATAGTATTAAAGTTTGTGCAAAAATCAGCCCGATTTGAAGACTTTCGATTTTAAGTTAGGACAATTGAGGAATTTTGCCCCAAGTATAAAATTTAATATAAAAAAATAGTTAACAAATTTAAAAAATAAAATCTTACTTTAAAACTTTGTTTAAAATTGCTTCTTTTAAACAATGCTACCCTCTGTAACAGCGTTGCACTCCTCCACTCGGCAAAAACTTTTTCGACGGCGTTGAATCTCATCCACGCACACCTCGTTTGACCTTGATGAATTTCGATCTCAAAAACCTTTGACGATGTCGAATCTCGTCTTTAAAAACCTCCTTTAGCACCTTCTGCAAACTCGTCCAAGAAATCGATCACTGCTTCACTGGTTGTAGTTCCGTATCTCACAAGGAGGCTGGTACTTGTGCCGCTCCTCTGTCCAGCTCCACATTATGTACCCAACTTAGTGATAGAAAAGATGCGCACGCATGCATATTAGCAGTGGGGGTTCACAGCACTTGCCCACCATATCGGTAAAACAGTTCCCTACCTTACCAGCCGACTCAAAATTTTTGACAGAAATCTACCTTACCGACTGATGGTAATACAGAGATCTGCAATATCATAAAAGAGCCAATCCACTTTAATTCACCCCTTACTACTGGGAACACAACAAATTTGAATTTTTTTAAATTTATTTTTTGCAGAATCTATTTATTGCTTGCAGTTTTGTGCTTTATGAAAATCATGTTGGAGATACAGGAAATGTAATGTTCAGAAGGATTCAACTTACAAATTTTGAAGTAAAGCTTTATTCCCTATTTTTTCATACGACTTGTTCAATATGAAAATTATTCACTTGTGGTTTAAATATAATTTTTATTGAAAGTTACCAATGAATTTAATTGCAAATAAATTTTAAATTAATGTTTACCATTTATATTAACTAAAACAATTGTAAATCTTAAATATTTCTGTCTAAAAAGTATGTTAATCGAATTTTTAAAAAATAGATATCTGTTGAGCGAATTTAACCTACATTAGCAAAATTAGCCTCTCTTACGGTATTATATCAATTATTAAAATTCGAAATTTAACGTTTACTTGTCACGTATATGGGTAGTTCTACAAGCGAAGGAAGAAAATGAAGAAAATTTTGGCACAACATTTTTTTACGTTCAGGATTTAAAAAGTAGGTTAAATTCAAGTTAAAAGTATTATCAAAGTTTCCTAAAAGTGTCCAGTCAAAAAAATAAAAATTGTTAATTTAACATCTTAAGCACATGTGTATTTTGTCAGAAAGTGCAAGGAAACTGAGAATTCGGTCATCTTTCGTCTAAAAAATTAAAAAACAAGGCTCAGTAACAAAATACAGAATACTTCTTTGAAGCTTCTGGTTAATTCTGACTAAAGGTTTTTTATGCTCCTGTTGAATCCTGATGTTCATAAACTGTGATTATTTCTCATTAAATTCTTTTTTTTACTTACACCCCGTAACGAAATATATTGGGTAAATGTAAAATACCGTTAACGTTTCCAATTTATGTGTTACCTTTCTTTCACAACTTTTAAAACATTTCGTATCTTTAAAAATATTTAGATTTTTTTTACTCTAAATTAAAATCTTGATATGAATTTCTATTAATTTCAAATCATTTCGTACTTTTTGAAATATTTAGATTTTTCTTTAAAAAATTTTATTTTTTAACTTTAGACAAAGCTTGGAGCTTTGTCTTCTAAACAGATTTGCAAAATATTTCACAAAACCATTAATACGTTTAAATATCGATATATATTTTAGAAAATTTCAAAACATTTCGTGCTTTTTGAAAAATTTGGATTTTTTTCCTAACAATTACATAAATTTTTTTTACTTTAAGACAAACGTAGAGACTGAACGAAATTCAAATTTTTTTTTGAATTTAATTTTAAATTAAATTTTTAAAAAATTTATACTTTTTGAAATATTTAGATATTTCTTTAAAAAATAGAATTTTTTAATTTTAGAGAAACTTGGAGCCTTAACTTTTAAACAGATTTCTAAAATATTTTACAAAACCATTATTTCGTTTAATTATCTATATATGTATATTTTAGAAAATTTTAAAACATTTCTTACTTTTTGAAATATTTCTATTTTTCTCCAAAAAATCGATTTTTTTACTTTTAGACAAGCGTGGAGCCTAAACTTTAAAACGGATATGTGAAATATTGGATAAAAGTATTAATAGGGTTAAAATCTTGATACACATTTCAGGAAATTTCATTATTTTTCGCATTTTGTAAAATATTTAGATTTTTCTCCAAAATAATTAAAAAAGGAAAGAATTTTCTAAACAACTTTCCTCTTAATTACTTTATGTAATAATTAATGATATGAGAAAACATAAAAAGTTTTAAAATCTCAACATAAACATCTTTGATGCAAAAAGTTGCGCCAAATATAAATTGTTGTAATTGTCAAAAAAATTATTGAATTATCAATTATTCGCCTTAATAAAAAATTTTAAATCGAGGCAATTGAAAATCTTAGCGTCAATAATTTTTTAATCTTCTTGAATAGAAATTTTTTATTTAGACAAAGAAGTAATTTTTTTTCTTATGTTAATCATAAAATTAAATTTCACATTTGTTAACATTCAAAATTGAATGTATACTTGGTACAGTAGAACGGGGTGTAATAGACACATTTTTACATTTTAATTTATAAAATCTGAATTTATAATTTTATTTCAAATTTCCAATTGGCATTGAAAGTTTAGTTATTAAGCTTGAATATTCTTGACGGATATATTTTTTATCCCATGAAAGGACTAAGTTATAAGAGTTTTACGAAAGCTCTGCAAATGGTTTTTTTGTACCACCTGGTGGGGGGAGAAAGACACCTCGCGATTTTATCAAAATATGTTATTAATTTTGGTATTTTTATAGTTTTCCTTTATTTATATGACAAATAATCTTATTTTTAAAATATTTTAATAAATTTTAAAGAGCTTTTATCAAGGAAAATTGAATATTATGTTAAGTTGAGGCGCATCAATGTTCCACAAATCCCATTTGACATAATAACAATAGTATTTAATGTAGATAACTCCTCAGAAGATAAGATATATTTTCCCTCAGCATTACACACAAATACATCACAACATACTTGCGTTAATGAACTGCATAAAGCTGCAATAGAAGTGCTTGATCAAATTAGAGAAAAATTCAAAAACTCTACAAGTAATGCACAGAAAATACTACTTTTGACTCTTGCGCCAAAATCTTGGGGTCGAAGAAGGTTAGCCAGAGAATTTAATACCTCTAAGCGGCTAGCAAGAAAGGCTGAAATTTTGGTAGCGAAGCGTGGCATTTTAACATCGCCAAATCCAAAGAAAGGTAAAAAGTGAACTTCTGAAACCGAAAACTTAGTTTAAAATTTTTATACTAGCGATGAATAAAGTCGTATGCTACTTGGAATGAAAGACTATGTTTCGATTAAATTAAATAATGGATCTCGAGAAAAAATACAGAAAAGATTAATTTTATGTAATCTATCAGAATTATATGATGCTTTTAAAAGTAAAAATCCTGCAGTTAAAATTAGCCTATCAAAATTCTCTCGACTTAGACCTCGCAATTGTGTACTTGCTTGAGCTATCGGTACGCACACTGTTTGCGTATATGTGAAACATGAAAATGTAAACCTTATGATGGAAGCCGTAAATCTGAATGAACTGACCCAAGATACAATTTACCCGCTGATTTCTTATCATGACGCTATAAAGAAGATCGTATGTAGTAATGCCTCTCCAGAATGTTTTCTGGATGAATGCAAGTTATGTTCTGGTACAGATCCGCTTAATGATTTTTGAAATTTAGTGTTAATGAATCATTACATTGAAAATATTGAATATCAATCTTGGCAACATACTGACAGAAGTACGTTAGTAACTGAAATAACAGAAGTACTACTAACAGTAGTACTGTATTACAATGATGACAATAAGGAGCAACATCGATGTTTAGCTATCATATCAGATTGTCTCAATCACGACACAGTTGCTGTATATCAATTTCAGAAAATTATAATGACTTTGAAAGAGAATTTTAACCCAAAAAAATTGTTTTATTTTACAGATGGAGCCCCACAACAATTTAAAAACAAATATAATTTTACAAACCTAATGTTTCATAAGAAAGATTTTGGTATTCTATGTGAGTGGCACTTTTATGCCACTGCACATTGAAATGGACCAGGAGATGGCATCGGAGGAACTTTGAAAAGACTTGCACGCATTGCAAGTCTGCAAGCATCATCCAAAAATGCGATTTTGACAGCTGTTGATCTTTACCAATGGTCGAAGAAAAGCTTAACTGATATAACAGTGTTTTTCAGTAGTAAAGAAGACCATTCTGCTTGTGCTGAAGAACTTAGTACTCGTGTTGCATCTTCAAAAACGGTGCTTGTTACTCAAAAGTATCATTCTTTTATCCCTACTGAAGATTCAACTTTGTTTTAAAAAAATATTCGGCATCTCCAAAATTTGATGTTTTCCCAAAAATTAAAAGTGCACAAAAAATACACGAAACCGTAAGCGTACAGCATAAAAGACAAGTAAAGGTCTTTCTTATACAAAGAAGATGTTCAGAAAATGTAAGTGTTTAAAATATGTAATTACTAATTACTTATTTAATTATTATATACACTTGTAAATACGTTCTGGTACACTTCTAAGGCTAATTTACGGAGTACTGATGAGCTTCAAAAAAGCGAAACCAGAAAACCCATATTAAAAAATAAAATTTTTAATTAAATTCACTGTAATTTGAGACGTCTTTTTTTAAAGTGTGAAAGTCAGCAAAATTGTACACTTTATAAATAAAATATTTATGCGCAATAATTATAGTTTCGTGTGTAATCTATAGTTATCAGGATAATTCACTGCTGCAGATGAGCACGCACGCGCTGTGTTCGAATGCAGAAAATATTCTGTACGACTATCAGTTATTTCGATCCCATTTTTGGCCTTATATGTTTTTGTAGGAAAAAGTCAAGCTTTCGATTTATGATGTCGAAAAAAAATCAAAAATGCCAAAATGGGAGAAAAATTAAAAAATAACCTTAAAATTTAAAAATTTTAGACTAAATATTTTTATTTTTTTAAATCAATATTTTTTTTGAAAAGCTGACAAAAATTCTTTTTAAAGCACTCCTTGGGAACTAAAATTGATTAATTTTAGTAAAAGTTATAAAAATTTGAATTTTGACGCGCACGGAAAAAAGTGGAATTTTGAAACCTCTGTATCTTGAAGACCCGGCATAAAAGTCTTGCATTCTCCACAAATTTTAGAAAGGTCAACTAATACTTTAATTTGACAGAGTTACAAAATAATTGGGTGAAAAAATTTTTTAACGTGTTCACTTCAGGAATTTTTACTCATAGGTATCTGAAGTTCTGAACAAATGGCCAGATCTATGTATGTATGTGTCACAAAATATTGTGAAAAAATTATCACAGACACGTTTTGACGGATTGTTCTAAAATTTTGTAACCTTATTGCAGTTTTTAATACCTAAAATCTGACAGAAGAATTTCTAAATATATCCACAAATTTTTTAAAAAATATATATTTAAAAATTTTTAAAATTTTTTTTATATTTTTTGAAATAATGTTTAACTGTTTAGAAATTGTAACTAATTTTTGTCAAAATTATATTCCTGTCACGAAAAAAAATCGATTAATGTACATGAATTATGCATTTTACCAATATTTATATACACTACCTTCCACGAGTATCAGGACGATTACACGCGAGTCTATAAAAAACATGCCATGATTTTTTCAGTCATATCTCGAAAATAAAAGAAGATACAAAAAAACTTAAATACGGTTAGAAAGCTGAATAATTTTGCGTAAAATAAGCCGTCTTTGAAGTCATTTCGTTAACTATTTTTTGAGTTGTAGAGTGAGAAATAAATAAAAAAAATTATCAAATTTTCTCATTTTGGTCTCTTGACTTAAACTTTTACAAAAATCTATAAAAATTCGGATAAAATTTTTTTAAAAACATAAATCGTTGTTAGAATTTCAGCTTTAAAATAAGCCTTCAAAAATTAAAAAAGGTTAATCCGTGTTACGTTTGACTTCGTAACTATTTTTAATTTATTTTAATAAATTAAAAATTCTTATATTATATAACTTCATTAAAAAATTAGGTATTTTGTAATTATATTTAAGTACACTAGACATACAAATCATTCACACAAAGACAATTTAAACTATTTATCATTGAAAAGTAACAAATTTACTATTTGTTATCTTTAATTTTACCTAAATAGTAATTTGGATTTTTTTCTTTGTACCAACAATATTAAATGACATTTTATTTTATTAAAATTAAGAATCGTTAAGAAGTATGGACAACACACATATTTCGAAAGAGTTATTTTCCAGTGGAAAACTCTAAATGTATTGGTTTAAATACCAAGAAAAGGAACATGCATTAAAGAAGATTCTTTATAAAGAAATTAGAGAATATAAGCGATAAGCAATTTTGATGACAATAGTGTCATTTTTCAAGTGACATAACTTGGATTATTTGAGGAAAAACACAGAAGTCTAAGAGTAATAACAATATATAAAATATGTTATTTTTATTGGTGAGTAAAAATTGTCAAATAACTACTATTATTCACACACACATTGAGAGTCATACACAATACTATTTTACATGAATTTAATAAATTCTAAAAAACCTTTTTCTGTTTATATTAACTAAATATAAAATGTGCAATAACTATTGCTAAAGAGTTATAGCTAGTTATTTGGAATAACTATAATTGTCAATATATGTAAAAATATAAGATACACATTATTATTTCTAATCTTGGAGAATTTAAAGTTGAATAAACTGTGAGAATCACATTACACACACATTGTAGTGTTTTATTACAATTAACTTTTTCACACCTGTCTTTTTTACTTTATTCCTTTTATTTAAATATAACTACCGTCTATCTGGGATTATTGAACAATAATAATCTAAGAAAGGGTCCACTTCCTTTAAATAAATAAATTATTTTTGAAGGGCGAATAACGTTTTACCTTGAGACATTTTTTTATTTAAATTTTTGTGTTTAATTAATTTGTTAGCAAATTGTTAAAACTAATTTTTGTAAAAATAAGAATTTTGATTAATAAATTAAAGTATTCAAAATTCATCCTTAACAATCTGTCTTCAAAATATCATTAAAAATGTGAAACCGTGTTGCGACCGATTGGTGCATTGAAATTTAACTGTGACGACTCGATTCTGGCTTCGCGCGGCTGCAAATGAGAGAGAAAGCAGGGACGAATTCATGCGGGGGAACGATGAACGTTCGAGTTTCTTTATATTCTACGTGAAACATCATTATTTATTGTTTCCCAGCATTCGCAGCCGCGCGAAGCCAGATTCGAGTCGTAACAGTTGAATTTCAATGCACCGATAGGTCGCACACCGCTTCACATTTTTAATGATATATCGAAGACGAATTAACCTTTTTTAGTTTTCAAAGGCTTCTTTACAGATGAAATTCTAACACAGATTTCTGTGTTATTAAAAAAATTTTGTATAAATTTTTCTAGATTTTTGAAAAAGTTGAAGCCTAGAGGCCAAAATGAGAAAATTTGATATTCCCTGTAAAAAAAAAGTATTGGGAGGTACGGGATTCCGTATTGCAAGTGCCAACCTGCCAATGCGGTATTCGTGAATTACCGCATTGGGTGTCCTGGTGAATACGGAAATCAAGGGGTCCCAATGCGGTGCAAGTTTTAAGCTTTAAAAAAACGAAAATACGTGACAGGAGGAAATAATTAGTGTCAGTGCAGAAATATGCGAGTTAAAGGAATGAGAAAATAATAATAGTCAGTGTAAAAATGAAACTTTAAGAAAAAAAGGTAAGTTGAACTGTCAAATATGAGTCCAATGCGGCGTAGGCTGCTTTCAATGCGGTACACAATCGGTACATAGTGCAAGTCGCCAGTAGAGGGCAGAAGCAAGCAGAGCGAACACAGTGGCCCAGCTGACATATGATTTGCATTACATTACTTTCCAATTTTTTATTTTAAAATAACCACGTTTCTGCATGAATCTAAACAATATTTTTGATTATTGTAATTTAGAAGATGCTTACCAATTGTACGTTGGCAGATTTAGTGAAAAGTGTCTGTGTACGGAGACAAATGTGTTAGAAAATGTTTGTTTACCTATTTCACGCTATTAAAACCAGTCAAAGTTGCTTTTGCTGTGGCGCATTGAAATCAGCCTATGCCGCATTGGGCCCATATTTGACAGTTCAATTTACCTTTTTTTCTTAAAATTTCATTTTCACACTCACTATTATTATTTTCTCATTCCTTTAACTCGCATATTTCTCCACTGACACTAATTATTTCCTCCTGTCACGTATTTTCGTTTTTTTAAAGCTTAAAACTGGCACCGCATTGGAACCCCTTGATTTCCGTATTCACCACGACACCCAATGCGGTAATTCGCGAATACCGCATTGGCAGGTTGGCACTCGCAATGCGGAATCCCGTACCTCCCAATACTTTTTTTACAAGGTTTTTTTTATTTATTTCTCAATCTACAACTCAAAAAATAGTTAACGAAATGACTTCAAAGAGGTTTATTTAACGCAAAATTTAATCAGCTTTCTCACCGTATTTAAGTTTTTTTGTATCTCTTTTTATTTCCCAGATGTGATTGAAAGAGTAATATAATAGCATGTTTTTTCATAGAGTCTCGTGTAATCGTCTTGATACTAGTGCAGTAGTGTAATTTAAAGCTATAATATTAAACAAAAAAATGTAATTTTAATGTTTGCTAAAAGCTATTTTATATTCAACAAAAAAATAAAATTTCAAAGTTTTAATTTTTTGTTCACTATAAAATAGCTTTTAATTATATAAATATTGGTAAAATGTATATTTTATGTATATCAATCGATTTATTTTTGTGCCAGGAATATAATTTTCACTAAAATTAGTTACAATTTCTAAATAGGAAAACATTATTTCAATAAATAGAAAAAACAATTTTTGAAATATTTGTAAAGAAAATTTGTGGATATATTTAGAAATTCTTCTGTCAGATTTTAGGTATTAAGGACTGCAATAAATAAATAAATAAATTTTCACAGAAAACAAAAAGTATTTTATTTAAATCGAAATGTTGAAAAAACATTTCTATTTGGCCTTAAGAATGTGTCCACCAAAAAGCAGAAAAAAAATTATTTTTTATAAAAGTTATTGCAAAATTAATTTTTTAGCAACTTTTTAAACAAAATTTTATTTCTCCGAAATGAATAAACCGATTTAAATGAACCAAGCGGGAACATCAAGGGGATAAAATATACTTTCGTTTAGAAAATTTTTAAAAAGTTTTTTTTTAATAATTATTTAATAAATTTTTTATAAACAATTAATTTTTTTTTATGTTCTACGCCTTTTAAAAATTTGAAAAAAATATTAACATACACTTAAAACTATAAAAAATCAAAATCCGCTGAGAAAATTTTGGAGCGACAATTATTTTAAAAGTTATAAAAAAATTATATTGAACGGAGATGCGATTTTGATGGTTTTCTAAATTAAAACATTATTTTTAACTACGAAATGAACAAAAAACACTGTCAAATTAACATTTTTATTCAATTATATAACCATAAAAATTGATAAAAATGATCAAAAACTAGGTTCAGCGTTGATGCACAACACCGCGCTAATATAATTTGTTTATAACTTTTAAAATAATTGTCGCTCCAAAATTTTCTCAACGGATTTTGATTTTTTATAGTTTTAAGTGTATGTTAATATTTTTTTAAATTTTTAAAATGCGTAGAACATTAAAAAAAATTAATTGTTTATAAAAAATTTATTATATAATTTTAAAAAAATTAACTTTTTAAAAATTTTCTAATTCTAAACGAAAGTATATGTTATCCCCTTTATATTCCCGCTTGGTTCATTTAAATCAGTTAATTCATTTAGGAGAAATAAAATTTTGTTTAAAAAGTTGCAAAAAAATTAATTTTGCAATAACTTTTATAAAAAATAAATTTTTTTTCTATTTTTTGGTGGACACATTCTTAAGGTCAAATAGAAATGTTTTTTCAACATTTCGATTAAAAAAAATACTTTTTATTTTCTGTGAAAATTTCACGAATTCTGACCCAAATTGTTGTAATTTTTAAAAAAATTATTGAATTATCAATTATTCGTCTTAATAAAAAATTTTAATTCGAGGCAATTGACAATCTTGGCGTCAATAATTTTTTTAACCTTCTTGAATAGAAATTTTTTATTTAGACAAAGAAGTAATTTTTTTTCTTATGTTAATCATAACATTAAATTTCATATTTGTTACCTTTCTAAATTGAATGTAAACTTGGTAATCTTTTATTTCAATAATTTTTTTGACAATTACAACAATTTTTACTCGGTGGAACTTTTTGCATCAAAGATGTTTTTGTTGGGATTATTGTTTTAATAAACATGTTAGAAAATAAATATAAATCGA